ACTCTGCTATATTAAATAAAATAAAAAAGATATATATATGAAATATATAAAATTATATATATATATATTTATTTTAATAAATAAATATTATATATAAAATAAATATATAATAATAATATAATATAATATAATTTAATGTAATATAATATAATATAATATAATATAATATAATATAATATAATATAATATAATATAATATAATATAATATAATATAATATAATATAATATAATATAATATAATATAATATAATATAATATAATATAATATAATATAATATAATATAATATAATATAATATAATATAATATAATATAATATAATATAATATAATATAATATAATATAATATAATATAATATAATATAATATAATATAATATAATATAATATAATATAATATAATATAATATAATATAATATAATATAATATAATATAATATAATATAATATAATATAATATAATATAATATAATATAATATAATATAATATAATATAATATAATATAATATAATATAATATAATATAATATAATATAATATAATATAATATAATATAATATAATATAATATAATATAATATAATATAATATAATATAATATAATATAATATAATATAATATAATATAATATAATATAATATAATATAATATAATATAATATAATATAATATAATATAATATAATATAATATAATATAATATAATATAATATAATATAATATAATATAATATAATATAATATAATATAATATAATATAATATAATATAATATAATATAATATAATATAATATAATATAATATAATATAATATAATATAATATAATATAATATAATATAATATAATATAATATAATATAATATAATATAATATAATATAATATAATATAATATATATAAATATATAATAAATATATATAAAATATATAAAAAAATATATATATTTTTTAATAAATATATATAACACATATAAAAATATATATATTCATTTTAGATGTATAATAAAATTGGCGAAATGTCTAACCGAATTCAGTCTTGCAATTCTTACGGAGCAAGCCACGTCAGTCACTTTTGGAGCACGATAGTTTTAGCGTTTCAGGTCTGAAAAATGTCTGAGATGCGAATCGTGGTCTCTCGTTTAACATACAAACGACGCCGGCGCCAGAGGTCCAAAGTTTTCCGTAGTAAAAATAAAAGTTCACCGGGGTAAGCTACGAGGGAACGTGAACAGCGTGCATATCGGCGCGAAAATGAATTTTCGACTGTCATAATGCCGGCGCGCGCGGTATCGAAGGCTACATTCGAGGGCACTTTCAATGCGGCCCCAGTTATCGAAGCTGCATCGGGGACGTTGCGAGGCCGCAATGATCGCGTTCAAGGTGTGCAGTCGCGACGGCGGTTTACTCCCGCCGGAAATGATATCCGCGTTATGACCGGGAATGCCGGAAGTAACGGCCAGGGAAAATAGTGAAAATATAATCGAGCGCGCGAAAAGCGAAAGAAAAATGCTCGCTGTTCGCCGAAAGTTTCCCCAAACGAGACGGGACGGGAACGGGACGGGAACGGGACGTGACGTGTATCGCGTGTCGAAATTTCCTCGGCGACGTCTCCGCCGGCAGCTTTCTCAACGAAACCTTTCCACCCCCCAACGGTTGCATATTTCGACGCGTTCCCCAGCGAAATAATGGATCGTCCGTTCTATCGCCGGGAACGTCGAACCGCGTTCAAGCGTCGTGAAAAATTGCTTTCGGCCCAAGTGTCTACTTTTTCTCCCCGTCGCGCCGCGCCGCGCCGGCCGATTTTCTTCCGCCTCGTCTGCTCGTCGCTTTATCCGCTTGTTTCGCTTTAATGGAAATGCGCGATCGCGGAAACCGGAAACCAAATATTTTCCGATCGATTTCATCCGAGTCCTACGACGTTTGGCGCGCGAGCGCCCGCGAATTCTCCATCGAAGACGAACGCGATTCTAAAATCGCGATCTATAACAATTTCTCCCGGGAAATGACAAAATTCAGGTTGCTGGGAATTTCATCTGTCCTAGTTCTACGCCTCTGCGATTCATTGCTACGTCGATGCTAAGGGCGACGGAGTCGGTCAAGCAGGCGTCGCGAATTTCCGGAAGACAACACAGAATGGTCTGTGAACTGTCCTCGAATTGTGTCACGTGGCCTCCGAATTGCTTTCGAATCGCGTCACATGACCCCCGAATTGCCTTCGAATCGCGTCACGTGGCCTCCGAATTGCATTCGAAACGTGGCTCGTGCTCTTCGAATTGCCTTCGAATCGCGTCATGTGATCCTCGAATTTCCCTCGAATCGTATCAGGTGACCCCCGAATTGCCTTCGAATCGTGGCATGTGATCCTCGAATTTCCCTCGAATCGTATCAGCTGACCCCCGAATTGCCTTCGAATCGTGGCATGTGATCCTCGAATTTCCCTCGAATCGTATCAGGTGACCCCCGAATTGCCTTCGAATCGTGGCCAATCGAGGCTCGAATAATCGCATCTCCTCTTTCAAAATTGTCCATTATTCGTTTACAAGCGAACAATTCGAGGGAATTGACCGTACTCCGATAAAATAAGCGAGACAATACGAAACCGAGCATCGCTGCGCCATGAAATTCGTGACAACACCGAGACGAAAACGTAGCCCGATGCCGCAGATACAAACACCGAGGTCGACGGTTGAAAATGAAACTCTATCGAAACAGCCTTGAGTTTCTGATCTCCCCCAGCGGAAAATGCGTCGAGTGCAATAAACACGAGTG